TCCACGAATATTGAAGAAATGAGAGTGGCAACTGAATAATTATTTGGTTACAATTTTCGTTGAACTAACGTCCAGCGGCGCGCAATTATTTCATCGGAGCTACGATATTTTAGTAATAATTCCCTGTTTATAGATGCATAGTTCTATCACACTTTTCGGCTAATGAAATTTGTTGCCAGTTTCATTTGCGAGAAGAAGAAGAAAAAACGAAGATAATATTTATTCGTTCGTATTGTTATATCTATCCCGTGGTGTGCGTAGCGAGCTGCGTTGTTAAAATGATGCGGCGTCTCGACCTCCGTGAATCCGATCAAAATTCTCAATGATCCGCTCGGTCACGAGTCGTAGTCAGCTTTAAGAATTAACATCTCGGGCATTCCCGATTGAAACGGTCATATTTTCTTGTTTTTTTTTTTTACATTCATTGATCACACTTGTATGTACGACGGAATATCATCCCTTCGACGTTATTTGGTTCTAGCGTAAAATCGTTTGACGTTCGTGTTTGTAGAAGAGAAGGGAAAAGTGAGTTACTTATTTCTATGATTAGTTCGGTTCCAAGCAATCCTTGTCAGTATTTTTTGTCAGAGAATTTAATCAGACAAACCGTTTGTCCTTAGTGAAAGGATGTAATGAAGTGAGCAGAGTTTTCGACAATCTGTTTAATCAGTTTAGACACGTAGGGGTCGTCGTTAGGAGTGTGTTAATGGTATCTATTTCTAATGTTTCTTGACTCGGCGCTTCGAACCCATAGAGATAATACACATATACTCTATTTCTCGAGTGACTAGGAGCCTTCCGCGCAGTTTGAAAGGTGATGGGGGCCGCAGCGAACGTCTCGGACCTCCCACCATGCGTTAATCGTCGCCTCACCGACCACGGTTCATTATACACGGTAGGACCAGGGGTCTCAGAATTTATCCCGCACGGCTCGCTTCCCCTCTTTTTCGCCCGTATTTCGATCCCCACTACTATTCTCCTCACGCGCCTTCGTGAAGCGAACCCATCAAGTACCAGTCCCCACCAGGGGTCTCGCGATTTATCCCTCGACGCTCGCTTCCCCTGTTTTTTGCCCGTTTTCGATCCCCACTACTATTCCCCTCATGCGTGCTCATGCGCGTTCGCGAAGCTCTCCGCAGCGCTACCGTGAAAATCACTGCATACCCTCACCAACTATTGGTCCCCACCATGGTCGCGTCGTCCCCACTTTCCGGCCGCGGGTAAAAATATCTCAACCCTGATTCGGACCTGTTGCGGATGAAACCATATTTTTTCCCTCGGCCGGAAAGTGAGGACGACGCGACCATGGTGAGGACTGGTACTTGATGGGGGTATGCTAGGCATGGTCAGCGAAGGCGCATGACGGGAATAGTAGTGGGGATCGAAATACGGGCGAAAAACAGGGGAAGCGAGCCGTGAGGGAAAAAATATCTCAACGCTGGATGAAACATAAGTATAGTTGGGTTGTATCGTTGTATGTCGTAAGGCCGCGGAGCATGAGCAATACATGTATGTATGTGTATGTGATGATCCGTGCTGAGAGAACGCACGTTTTTGTCATCAATAAAGAGTTTGACTTGAATCCATTCTTTTAGTTTCTCCACACAGCGATCCCAATTACCTTAGTTAATTTAACAGGTTATGGGCCCAGGGACGCGAGTGTATTAATATTTCGTGGAGAAAAGGTCTTCTATCGTAATTTTTCATAAGCGGAATAATCTGCGTGTTTTAGGTTAGCCAGCCTCGTGCAATAGTGCAACATGACCGAAATAGAACACGAGTTTGCAAAGATTGAAAAATTGACTGGAGAAGAAAATTGGGGACTTTGGAAATTTCAAGTGCGAGTTATTAATCTCACGAATGGAGCAGCTGAAATTCTTTCCGGAGATCTTGTTAAGCCAGAACCGGCGGGGCAAATGGATGCTCAAGGGACGGCTGAGTATCAGAAAAGATTAAAAGAATGGAAAAAGGTGGATGGTTTAGCACAAAAGTCAATTGTGACAACAATAAATGCCAGGAATATGTTGCACATTATAAATTGTACGTCTGCCCGTGAAATGTGGCTCAAATTGCACGAAGTGTATGAAAATAAGAGCGAAACATCAAAGCACATGCTACAGCAAAAATGGTTTTCGCTTGTTAAGGATGCCACAGATGATATAGCCACTCGTGTGTCTAAGATAAAGGATCTTGCCTGTCGGTTAGCAGCACTAGGGGAACCTGTATCAGACAGTATGATAATGACCAAAATTTTAATGACTCTTCCGTCGTCTCTGAAACATTTTCGTACAGCTTGGGAATCGACTGGTGAAGAACAGCGAACGCTAACGAATCTTATTTCGAGACTTTCAATGGAGGAGATTCGGCAAGGGACAGATCAGAATGATGTAAAAAACAAATATTAAGTTGCTGCTACTGACCAGTGCGCAGCCTCATTAGAGAAGAACAGACGATATAACTGATTCTCTCTTTCTCTCTTTCTATCGCGGGACGTTTTCACTTGCAGAAATTATGAGGAATATGGCTCACCTACTTTATATATGTGTATTATTTCTATGTTTGAGCCAGTTCCAATCGTTTCTCGACCAATTTACACGATCTTTCCGACCAAAAATGTCGTATTATCGAGTACCTGCTTCGACGCTGCTTCCGCTTAAACCGATCGGTTTCGTGGCTCTATTATCAACAATCAGATTAGGTTCTCTTAATAATTATCAATCACGAAACGTTGTTCTATCGAATAAATCTTAATAGTTTAATTGATGGGAGTAATGGTTAATTGAATTTATGTTTCATACAAGAACGAAGACAATTCGCTACAGAACAATCTGTTCCAACACACAATTTTAATTAAAAAGAAGAGAGAATAATTTTAGATATTGAATTTCGGTCATTATCAAATAATAAGAATTATGGCGGAACTTCCGAAAACCCCTGTTCTCTGAATTGGCTGAAATTTTGAAAATAAGTTCGTTTTTGATAAAAATCATAATTGCAAAAAGGATTTTTAGCGAATCGAAAAAAACTTTTACCATTTCAAAGTCATTTCCTATATTACCGACACTGTATTGACTTAAAATTTGTTTGTTTTTTAATTTGTTGCAAACACATATTTCATATCCTCGATTAATTGTAAAAATACTAACCTAACCTCACCTAACTTAACCTAACGATTAAAAATGAAAACATATTCTTCAACTTGCTTTCAAAGCTGTAGTGTATGTTCCCGCGCTTGTGACTACGTCGGTAACATAGACAATGACACCTAAATGGTAAAAATTTCTTTTTTTAGTCGTCAAAAATCCTTCTCATCAGATTTTCATCAAAAAAGAACTTATTTTCAAAGTTTCAGCCAATTCGAAGAACGGGGCTTTTCGGAAGTACAGCCCAGAATTGTTATCATAAATCCAATGAAAGATAAATGAAATTTCGTTAGAACAAAACGGATCAGTTTCTCTAATTTACATATTTAATCGTAAATGCAAATGAATTCCGTGCGGAACTGATAGGACCGATATTTTACACTCTCTTTAAACATGTATTTCTCCGACCAGTTTTATCTGCCTTCTTGATCGATGAGCCACTTATGGCTCCGGCCTCTACTTTCGTCTTCTTCCATAGCTTTTTCTGTTGAGACGAACAGTCTTTGCGACAGTAAAATCTCTGAACTATAAATTCGATTTTAATATAATATTTGAATGTTGAATTCGAATCAATATGGATATAATGATCCTTGTTTAAGGATGTATTGGTTATACAGTCAATCCCAAAAGTTTATGTACCCTAGAAAAATGCATTTCCTATAATTAAAAAGAAATCAGACGTTAAAAGAAGAATGATTTTGGATGAACAAAAGTTTAGTCATATTTATTCGTTAATTGAATTTATTGAATTGAAAATTATGATTTCACTTTAAATGATGTAATATTTGAATGTCGAAAAGTTAGATGTAATTAAAAAACGTGCAGAAGCGTGAGTACGACGTTGAATTTAATGGCTACTCATAAACAATGTATATACATGAGTTTTATTTTCATCCGGTATAAGCGAATGGGAACTTCGTTTGCCAGAAGAGTAATAATTAAATGTTTAGAATTTAAAGAGAAATTATATTTATTCATTGTTGAATAAAAAGTCTTTATTACCATTTGATTTTAAACGATACGATGAATATGAATGTTGAATATGGCTGCTGAACTGAACGTTGAACACGAGTGTTGAATTTAGATGTTAAATATGGACGTTGAATAATGGAAAGTGTATTTAAAGAACGACCAGATGTTACTAAAACGTTGAACGTGAATCAACGCGGATATAAAAATTGAAAAGCGGAAAATGTAAAAAGCGATTTACAAAGAAACGTTGAAAACCTTCTAAAGTTCACGCGGTTCATTCGAATCTTGTATTTTTCGCTACTAAACGAATATTCTTCTTCGTACATCGCTTTTTACAGTTTCACTCTGTCGCTTTTTCTTTTGTATGATCGGAAACGAACGAATCTCGATGGTCGTTTTCAGCCTCGCCGAGCTCGTTCCAACAGTAATAAAAAAAAAAAAAAATAAAGAAACTGAGCATCAACCACACAACGGAACTACGAACGGCTGTACCTATTATCTATTATATCACGTGACACGTTGTCGCGCGACGCGTACATGTAAATTTATAAATAAATAAATTATTATAAAGCAGGAAACACGTCTGAGTTTTCCTCGATTCCTAAACATAAAACTTCATCATGTAAAAATATAAGGTGTGTTCTTCCGGCTGTCTGCGCCTTCCATTCGTCGGCCATATTGGAAGTACGATGACCTATTATTTAATCCGAATTCCGAATACGCATATATATTACACTCCGAGAACTTAATTTTTGACATGTTTACGATTTTTAAATTCGCTCTGTTTTAATATGAAGCGTGATTGGTTAGAAATGCAAAATGGCCAACGAATGGAAGCGTCCGTGATTAGTTGTTCAATTGGATGCGCAAGAACACACCTTATGTTTTTATATCCTGATAAAACTTCATCTTCAAGTTGTTCATACCTGATCTAAATTCATTTGGAGTTTCATAGGAGTTCTATGGGAAGGTAATGAATAAAAGTGATATTGAAAGGTCTCGAATAATCTATTTCGTCTCTCAAAATAAAAAGAAAATATTACACAATGGATACGCGTTTATAAATTATAAGAATATCGTCTATAGCCTACGTATAGTATTGTCAAAAAAGTTACAAGTATGTGTTGAGGTAAAGAGCGAAGGAACGATCAGTCGCTGACTAATTTCTTCTCTTTTTTTTCATCTCTCCTATTAATACTAGGTATTCGTCGTTCGAAATTACACGTCACCATCTTTGACGACCGACAGAAATAAATCTACTATCTATATAATTTATATTCGTCAGAAATAAAAAGATATTTATGAATAATTAGATAAAAGAAAACGACAGTGACGATCACTTGCCTGGAACAGGAAGTCACCTATCCTAATTTACTTGGTCTAGAAAGAAAAATCTGCACCTATAATTAAATAAAAGGAAAACAGCAGTGACGTTTATCTGTTGAAAACAGGAAGTAATCTACGCTAATTTATATTCGCCGATAAGACTTGGTGTATAATAAATAAAAAAAAATCTCTACATATAATTAAATAAAATGAGAGCAGCGGTGACGATTATTTGAAACAGGAAGTCGGTCTTCAAAGATTAATCGCATACATACACGTCGTGTAATAATAATAATAATAATATTAATAATAATCATTGTCATAATTTGTTTCGTTCTTACGCACGGTACGTGGAATGTCCGTTACTCATTCTTCTTTCTTTTACCCTACCTGCGCATATACACACGTTCGTAGTGTCGCGTATGTACACGTGTATTTATGCGTATTGTCGCCTATGCACGATATTATAAATACAGCTTAAATACAGTATCGACAGTTGCAGTTGGCTCCGGTTGGTGAACCGACTAATGGATCTTCGCCGGTTTCAATACGTTCTCCGTGAATTGGCCGACGATGTTGCCCCTAGGGTGATAACAAGCCACCACCACGCACGTCCCGTCCCTCTTAGCCATCGCGATACCCAACTCCGTGGTGTTTTTCCAAACGATTTGCGTGAAATGGCCTACGGAAATAATTTTTATAAATCAAACACGAAACGAGAGTGAGAATTATTTGAAAATATTTAAGAACAAAGAAAATTCTTTAAATTCTTAAATTTTTTCCCTAAAGAGAAAGCGATTAGTCTTACGTACATGTGTTTAAAATCTTTGGCTCCGTGCCATACTTGTGATCCTTCTTCTCGGAATACCACTTGGAGACGACTTCCCGGGCGGGCACGATCAACTTGGGATCGGAACACTGCATCGAGTAAATGTTCTCACCGTACGGGGACGACGATTGCGGGATCAGCTTGTTCGTGCTTAGCAACGTGTTCGCCCACGCCTGCGGATAGAGGAAGAAATTTTTAATCGAGCGTTACTCTTCCGCCCGCGCGGCCGACTCCGTCGCCTTGTCCAATCGCGGTTTATTCATAGTAATTAGATTTGATGCACTCTTCGTTAATGAGTAAAACGTACTTTAGCAGCGGCCGTTAATTCGGCGCTGAGTCTCAAATCCGGAACCCGATGCTTCCTCCTGTATTCGTTATGAATGAGCAGAGCCTCCTGCTGCCACGCTTGCTCGTTCGCGTAAAGCGCTCTGGGATCCGGTCTAACCTTCTTCGTGGGACTCATGCCGCCAGGCGGTAAAACGTTTTCTGTGAAGCTGCCCAAAAAGTTTCCCGCTGGATTGTAGTTGCAAACGACGTAAACCTCGCCGTTTCGATTCCTTGCCATCCCGACGCCTAGCTCGGTGCTGTCCCTCCATACGACTTGGGTAAAGTGCCCAGTTTTCAGGGTAGTGGGTTCCTTCCCATACTGATGGTGCGCTTCTTCGGCGTACCTACGGGATTAACAAAGTTAAAACTATAATATAC